GGGTCAAGGTTGTTGGTATCCAGTAAAAGGTCTTTCAACAAACATTATATATGTGAAGAATAAATGTCCTAGAGTCTACTGTTCAAAAGATATGGCCAAAGTAAAATTTTAAAATTTTCATGTAAAAGTGGGTCAAACTCCAAGGTCAAGAGGTCAAATTTGGTGGTACCCAAAGAAAGGTCTTGTCACAAGGAATACACATGTGAAATATTAAAGTCATAGCTCCACTAAATCAAAAGTTAAGGACAAGGTTAAAGTTTTTGCGGACAAACAGACAAACAGAGAGACAGAGAGACAGAGAGACAGACAGACACGACAAAAAATGTGTAGCCCCGAAACTTCGTTTACGGGGGCATAAAAAAGGTCCTTAGAACTTACAAGCTGAAATTTACCAAAAACATTCTTTGAGAAGCCTCCGATCTGCAGTAAATACGCACCTGCAGGATTTGGGTAGATTAGTTAATGTCGTAAGAGACAAAGAATTTAAAGCTGCCAATCATACCCTTGATGGGATGTTGAAATGACTGGAAAAAAACCGGGGCATCAAGGGCCACAAACCACAAAGAAGTATTTCACACTGCAGATTTACAGAGAATCTCTGCCTATTTCAAATGTGCTCCATCCTCCCCTATTGCTCTTCGACAATGTGTATAGTACAACCTCTCCATTCATTTCATTTCCCGTGGCTAGGAATTTCACCAGATATGCATGGACTCATTTCATTTCGCAAAAGATGAAAAATGGCCTGGAAAATACTACCCTCAGACACGAACACAACAAAACAATTACAGGAAGGCATTGGATGTCATGAGGCTCCGCCTGACAAAAGAATGCATGAGATTCCAGAGAATGAATTGTGTTCAATCAAAATGATTAGCTGCATATATATATATATATATTTATCCTGCAACTACCCCTTGCATTGACCTAATAAAGGTAACCTAATAAACCAAAGCTTTATCCGGTCACTGCCCTAATAAAGCCTCGTGCATGTATTCTGACGTTCTAAAAGCATTGTGACGTCACGTATACTGCAATGTTTACGCCATGGCGTCATAGTTTCAACTGCAGAGATGTGCCTAATTCTGTTCGAAATAGCTTGTTTTGGACGTTCAAATGTAAAATTTTGTTGCAGGATAAACAAAATACATGATAACTGTCTTGAAATATAAGCGATATTTGGGCTCGGGTCGAAAACGTAAGAGGGCTCGGCAAGCCTCGCCCTCTATCACGTTTTCTTACCCACGCCCAAATATCGCTTATATTTCAATACAGTAACCATGTATTTTATATATATATATATATATATATATATATATATATATATATATATATATATATATATATATATATATATATATATATATATATATATATATATATATATATATATATAAAAAAAAATCACAACACCGAAATAAACTCAACCGGTTTCATTTCCAATCTTCAGGAGTTTAACAATACAATGCTAAGGGCGCTTTCCATTAAACAGGCAACGCCGGTTTTGCCGATGTTGCCGCCGACGCCGGATAATGGAACGCGCGTTGCCGGCAAGCAATTGCGGTCACGCATTTTACCATTGCCGATTCAGAAACAATATGCCGTCGTGTCATCGAGAGGAGGTTTACAGATACTACAAAACGGCGATTTCTTCCTTAGACTCTGATAAACTACAACGTCAGTGCATAAAAATTAATTATGGAGTACACCCATCAACAAATTACAGGATAAGTATCCGTTTATAGTTAATTCTATATGATTTTTTTAATTGAACATGTAAAGTACAACTACTCCGAATTTTCTCCACACATATAGAATGAACAGTTATTTATGTACATCCTTTTGTAATTAAACGCAAACTACATGATAAGTATTCCCACCTTTTTACGTCATATTTGACTGCTTATTGCGTCATTTCACCTGTCTGGATAAAGAATAGAGTCTTTTACTTTTTATCTGTCTGTTGACGATGGCCTCTCTTGAGCTTCTGTATTGCCCTGGATGCAATTCGTTATTTTTATCATTATCTCACTTTAATCAGCATAATTGCCAAGTAAATTCGCCAGTACAACCCCTCATTCTTAAGGACAACATGACCACTGTGTACAGGTATTTTATTTGCAAGTCTTGAGTTAACATTTTTTTATTCAAAGTTACTGTTAGATAGAATGTTCTATCATTAAAATTATAAATATCCTATGGACCCGGTTTAACTTTTGCTACATTGCAAGTTTACATATTGGTGGTATTTTAACTGTGGTGAGGGCTTGTCCTGAGAGTGAGACACAGTTAGATTATTAGATTATATTATTAGTGACTGTACGTACAAAGTAAGTAAAAGTTCACACACTAAAAAAGAAAAGGTATGTTCACATTGTAATTAAAATGATCACAGAAGATTTGATTTATAAATTTTTCTGCATATTTAATCATTAGTATGCAGATTTTCAATGATATGTTTTATTTAATTAGGATATGAAATTTTGTGCATCAATAGGAATGATAGGAATTAAACACTACTCATGCTACTAGGGATAACAAGAGTTTAGAAGGTTCAAAATTTATAAATACCATTCTAGTTTTCAGTATATTTGCAGGGAAGAAGAACCACATCATGGACAGGGGGCTGCTTGTCAGACAGTACAGAAAGCTGCAAGAAATACGCTGTCGGCTTATTCTTTTTTCTGACAAGAGATGACGTATAACCTCTGGCGTAACATCGTCGTCACAAACATTCATCTCATCGCTTTCAAGTTCTTGAAGGAGAAATATCTTGATTATGCGAGTGTTTCGCTTGGATTCGCATTCCTCCATATTTGGTAATTGTGACGTTACCAACCGTTCCATTAACGTCACCGTTTCCAGGTGACGTCGCCGAGAAGGCAAAGTAAATGGAAAGCGCCCTAGGTTACACAAAATCAACATTCATATTGTGACGTCATAAAGCGCTAATACTTAGTCGCGCTTTAGCAAAGTTCATTATGACGTCATGATAATACGTAAGTAAGTTATTACGGGAAATTCGATTTTTTATACAAATAGCAGTTATATTATGCAGGTAAAAGAATATTTCTTAAACGAAATATAATTATGCTGCATTTAAAACAGGTTTATGTCTGTTTATAAAATGATTTTCTTTAGTTTCACGTTCTTTAGTATCTGTAGTATCCCTTCGGAATTTGTAGAAAGGAAAAACAGTAAAATTGGGGGTTTTATTTTTGGCACAGTTTCTAATGTGTTCGCTTAGAAAACATCCGTTATTATACGGTTTTCTTTTTTAATAACCATTACATCCAGAAAGAATAACTTATTACTATCCGATTCCATGGTGAATTTCAAAGTAGGGCTCAGGGTGTTTAATACTTAATATTTGACTCTTGTCACCCTAGACACACCAGGAATAATATCCCATACAATTTAGCTAGACGTCTTTGTACAATAATATCCGATGCAGAAATCTTGGAATCTCGTCTCACAGAACTACAAGAACTACTCCTTCAAAGGCACTATCCTAGACGATTGATTGAAAACGGAATAAACAAAGCAAAATCTCAAGAAAGAAAAGATCTACTTACAGTGAAAAACAAACAGGTAAATAATGTCATACCATACGTATCAACGCATAACCCAAGAAATCCAGAGATTTTCAACATTATTAGAATTAATCTGCCCATTTTAGAGGATGATCCAGACATGAAGAAAATATTAGAGACTTCACAGATCATTAAGAGTAAACGACAAAGTCCGTCTCTCAAATCCATCCTTACAAAAGCATCCTTTTCTTCTAACAACAATGAACCAGCAATCATCAATAGATGCAACAAGCCAAGATGCAGTACTTGCCCATACCTGACAGAGGGATCCAAATTTCAATTTAAAACTGGAAGCGAATTTACTATTAAAACATCAATGTCATGCACCAGCTCTAATCTAATTTATGTGATAACCTGTGCCGGTTGTGGTGAAAATTATATCGGCCAAACAGGAGACACCCTGAGGCACAGAATGACCGTACACCGACAACAAATTAGGGAACCGAAATACCAGTGTACCGCCGTAAGCGAACACATTAGAAACTGTGCCAAAAATAAAACCCCCAGTAAATTTTTCCTTTCTACAAATTCCGAAGGGATACTACAGAAAAAGAACGTGAAACTAAAGAAAAACATTTTATAAACAGACATAAACCTGTTTTAAATGCAGCATAATTATATTTCGTTTAAGAAATATTCTTTTACCTGCATAATATAACTGCTATTTGTATAAAAAATCGAATTTCCCGTAATAACTAACTTACGTATTATCATGACGTCATAATGAACTTTGCTAAAGCGCGACTAAGTATTAGCGCTTTATGACGTCACAATATGAATGTTGATTTTGTGTAACTTAGCATTGTATTGTTAAACTCCTGAAGATTGGAAATGAAACCGGTTGAGTTTATTTCGGTGTTGTGATTTTTTTATTATAACAATACGTGTGTGGATTTATACTATATATATATATATATATATATATATATATATATATATATATATATATATATATATATATATATATATATATATATATATATATATATATATAAAGTAAAAAGTAAAAATCCAAAAATATCACAAAACATTCACTGCAAGCGCTTTCGCCATGTTTGGCTCTTCAGGTAGTTATACAAAGGTCAGGGGCCGGTTGTTCAAAAGTTGGTTAAATTTAACACAGTGGTTAAGGATAACTATGTGTTAAACCTTTATCATATGATTAGCTAAAACAGTGGTTAAATTCTGTTGTTCAAAAGCAATTTAACGCATTGGTTAGCTAACACTGTGTTAACTGCTTAATCACTTGGTAATCACTTGGTTACCCATAATGCACTTCTACTTCCTTTGTACACAATCATGGCTGACGTCGTGTGCTTGAAAAAGAATAGGAAAGCTAGGAGCACTAATTTCTTCTTAAATGAGGTAGAAATTACCAAAAATGAAGTAAAACTTCATCCTATTCTGGAGGCAAAGCATAGTAACACGGTTACCAATGCTAAGAAGCAAGCCATTTGGCTTGAAATTGTCAGAAAAGTAAATGCTGTAGGGGTGGCAAAGAGGAGTTTGAGCGAAGTAAAAGACAAATGGCGTAACATGTGTCGGGAGGCCAAAATGAAATTTACCGAGAACAAAAGACAGATGTCAAAGACAGGAGGAGGGCCTCCACCCATCCCTCTTTCCCAGACAATGCAGGATGTTGTTGACATGTATAAGGATGCCAGTTCCTTCCATGGGATTGAGGGGGGCATTGAAACCTCAATGCCTGGCTGTTCTGGTAAAATATGACTTTTATGTGTTCATCAACAATAATCTTATCTAATATGCTCATTATCTCCATATTTCATATGTATAAAAATAAAAAAAATAATGGGAAAATGATTAAAACTGTGATAGCAGCTAGGCCAAAACACACAATGAAATAATGTCAAACTGTACTTTCATTGAATTTACTTTGTTTAAATAACTATATAATTATTTAATTATTACTTTATCACTTCAAAATAATATACTACTTCATTCAAAATATTGTACTTTAATCGGAACAAAACTGTACAATATCCCATGGCCTTAGCCGCCTACTTGACTTTGATGATTTTCGTCTGCTTCAAAACATGAAACCTTACTCAGTTGCTGTTAAAATCTATATTTAAGACCTACAGAAGGTTGGGTTATCTTTTCTGTCATTATAAGGCCTATCTTTTATTTTATAAACCCAATTAACGCTGTTAACCATGATTGAATAGTTAACTAATATTGTCCTTTTTTCCGTATTTTCTTTCGATTTTGTTTACGTGACCTTGACCTTTTGATGGGGCTACTGTAATACAAATCGAGGCATGCATGTAGAATTGCGATCGAACATGAAAGGCTTTAGTTAAGAAATTATATTATATTGCTCTTAGATTGCCGTTTGTAATCTTCCAAGTATGCCCTTTGAGTCAAAATGAAAATTAAGAGGCGAACTCACCATCAACATGTACGTGCTCTCTTCTAGCCTAGTGCATCGGGTGTTTAAAATTTGATTAGATTAAATTTGATTCACAAAATATGTTTCTTACATCTTGATTGATTATTTTTATTTTGAATTTGAGAGAAAAGTAGATTTCATATTAGTTGCAGTAATTAATCTTCAATTAAAATGGGAAGAATGAGGATACGGATGTCGAATCCGAAAATAATACACATGGATTGATCTATTTATATCGTATAAGTAGAATTTTTAGCGAGGATTTAATTTTGGCATTATTAGCAAGGGTGCTGACATCGCTAAAATTTAATATCGCTAAAAAAAATTTTGCGTATTATTTGCAATAGCTTCTTTAGTTAGCATTTTAAAATCGCTAAATTTACTTCTCGCTAAAAATAAAATACCAGATTTTAGGTAGAAATCGCTAAATTTGCGTCTCGCTAAAATTTCCACTTATACGGTATGTCTCTGGTGTGGATCCAAGTTAAAACATAAATCTGAAGAGCCTCAAAAAGTTTAATCAACCAATGCTTTAATACACATTCTGAAGTTATAGATAGGGTATAAATGGATTTTAAGATAAATAACTGTAATGCCCATCTTATCATCTTGACAAAAATTCAGAGTAAGGGGGGAGGGGGTGCCAATTTTTTCTAACATTAAAAATGTTTGTTTATAAATACATGTGTATTTGTTTCATTTAAAAAATAACAAATTTTAGAAGAAGAAAAAAACAAGACAAATCACAAAATAACTATTCTTCAAGATGAAAAGAATATAAAAATTTAAAAGAATTTAAAAATATGACTTTGTATAGAATAAAGAAAATTAATTATTATTTTTATGTGTTCAATCATACAAATATAAATATAAATATCTATAAGAAAAGCGCTATAAATATGAAAAGTAAATATTTGATTAAAGATGTTGTCTGATAAATTTATGCTGTGAGTATATATATAAGAATTGCTTCATGAGGCTGCATACTACCATGGCAGTGCATGTGTATATTAGGTAAGAAAGACTAATAATAATGATTTTTTTTTCTATAGTAATATCCTCCATGGCAGTATCTCCAACTCAGACTGTTACTAAGGATCATAATGTGGACTTTTGGCAAGATGCTTGAGAGAACCTTCCTGTGCCACCCCAATCTCCAGCAAGTCATGCATTCATTGTCATGGAGACACTCTTAGAGGAACCCCTTTCCCCACCTAGTCCACCAAGACAACTATGTGCCTCATGTAAATATTGCAGCAATATAATTATATACTTTCATTTTCTCAACTACTAAGAAAAAAATAATTAAAAATAAAAGAAGGAAACAAAAATGTAAAAGTCAAAGACGTTAGTTCACTGAACATGCAGCAAGAATGGTACACATGTCCATTTTCCTTTTAATGAGATGGCGTATTCACATTTTTCTCATTGAAACCATAGCAATTTAAGCTGCACCAATTCATTCTTGACTCTTGAAGATTAACATTAAATACAAGATCCATAAAATAAATCACACAATATATTATATGTTTTTTGTATATTTTATGCAGCATTGCCTGTCAGTACATGTAGTAGAGATCCAAACCAAGGAAAAGAGAGGTAAGGTTGTTCTCTCTCTCTCAATCTCTTTATGCCCCTGTAATTAAATATTCAAGGGTACATGTATATAGTTTTTGTACTGTCCGTCTGTCGGTCTTAAGCTTTCTATTTGTCGGTCTGTAAAAACTTTAATCTTGTCTATGACTTTAGAGTGGGTGGTGTAAATATTTTTGACCTCTTGACCTTAAACATTGAGACTTTTGAAATATTTTAACCTTGGCCATATATAGCTCTTGAAAAGGTGCATGGTACCGTAACTATAGTTTTCATAGTTATTCCTATGGCAATGCCTTAAATTCTTTTGGATACCAATAATTCTGTCATTAGATAAATATAATTAAAAATAGATTTTACTTGACATTTTGAACAATTTTGCTTCTTTAACCTATTACAAATTCTCAATACTTTTTGAGATATAAAGAAAACAATTTCGGCCCCTCTAAGCCCTTTATTTTAGGGGCTAGCCCTTTTTTCTACATATCATTTGAAAGGTCTTGAAATTCTACACTTCTTTTGTTCTATATATATTTACAAAATATTTCCAGTTAAAAAGATATTGTAGAAAAGTTGTTAAAAATTGTGAAATTCGCTTTAGGCCTATTTTCGGGCCATAGCGAGCGCCGACGTGCGGCATTTCCCATAAAAATGAAATACCTCATACATATCTATAAACTTTGGTCTATCATACCTGAAAGTTTCATGTTTTCTATCTTGAGCCATTGTTGAGAAAACTGTCGGACAAAATGACCCTCTAAAACTCACTAAATCGCAGAAAACTTCGAACCGGAAGTGACGTCATCAAATTAAAAAAAACGCCTTAAGGTAAGTCACTCGTCAGCTTTTTAGAAAAGTTCACGCAGAAGCTTTTACTTCAAAACTACCTCTTAAAATTCAATTTTTATACCATGTTTATATTTTTTAACATTCAATGAAAAAACTGCTCAAAAATCTACAAAGAAGTAAGATTTGTGAGGGACTATTTATTTTGGTGGAAGGATATTTAGCAGAAAATTCTGCTAATCTGCACATTTATAAAATTTAATGTAATGGAAATTTAGCTTCACATACTTTTACTCGGAGAACATTTTTTGTTTTGATATTGCTAAAAATATTTAATATAGGTCTTAATTTATATTTTTAGACTAAGTTTTACACCTTCCCTCAACAAACTTTTCCAAAAAATTAAAATATATTAAAGAAGTCAAGGTCAAATTTACATCATTTTTTGACTGAAAATCACATATTTTGACAAATATTTCAAAATTAACATCACTGACCCCACTTTTTTCTTTCCTTATTTTAAACTACTAGATACTTGTGACTGTTCAGCACTTAAGTCGTAAAAAGTTTGATATAAGAAATTTTTTTATTGCCAATTCGTTTAATACCCCAAATATGTTATTTTTTGGTGCAAAAAGGTCACACAATAATTTACGCGCATTAATTTACAAGATTTGTTTAATGATAAATATTATTCAAACTATTTTACGTAAAAAAAGGTTATATTTATTGCCATTCTTACATTTAATCAAATATAATAAGGGTTAAAGTAATTAGCCAAAGAGATGAAGTTTAAGTGCAAAAAGGTCAATTTAAATGTACCGTAGATCAGTAGGATGCACACTGACCCCCTATTTTCTTTGCGATTTTGAGTTACACTTTATGAGTACTTATCCAAAATATACTTCTCAAAAAATCCTTGATATACCAAATTTCAGGAGTGACTTACCTTAAGTTCATATAATTTGTCATCAATGCTGAAAGTTTCATAAAAATCCATTAGCGCATTTACGAGAAATCGCCTGCACAAAATCGGTAAGAATAATAATAAGAAGAGTTGAAAAGAAACAACAGAATAATAAGAAGTTCTTCCGTTGAAACGGAAGACCTTAATTATAAGAAGAAACAGAGTAAAAACAATATGTTCCCCAACTTCGTTTGGGGAACATAACCAGCACTACCACTAAACTACTAAACATTATATATTTACAAACTTAGTTACATGTTGAATTGGAAATTTTTAAGAACACTATTAAAGAAAGAAATCCGGACCGCTATAAAAATACGTCCGGTCTAACGGGTATACTCGGGTGAACTGCGATTTACATAATTGAACGAATTAATTATGCTAATTAATTACGACAATCAGTCAATCGTACATTGTTTCATTCCCTCAATATGGCGTAACTATACTTGATAAAGAATAATCAAAGAAAAATAATATAGCAGGGATATTGAAATATGAATTATGATATATTATAAATTTTGAAATATTTTAAGAGGGAGATGAGGATTCCAACTTTCTTTGGGAGTGTAATTGTGGATGAAACAATGAATCAGATGAAGAAAACTTCAAATGTTTTATAGTGAAACTTTAACACCTCACAGTGTTTTAGAGCTTTAATATATATGTAAGACTTCAAAGTCCGATGGTGACGCCAAAGTCCGATGGTCTCGCCAAACCCCGATGGTCTGCGCCAAACCCCAATGGCTCGTTGTCTTTACGGACCCCAAAGTCTGATGGTCACGCCAAAGTCCTATGGCTTGTTTCCTATGAGACGCGCGACGCTAAAGTGCGATGGTCTGACAAGCCGAAGTCCGATGGTGCGGAGGAACAATTAACGTTTATGACGTCAATAGTCCGACGTCATGACGTTATTCTGCATTCAAAATCCGTTGATTCAGTATTTGTCTCACATTCGTTTTTACTGCTATTGCTTTTTGTTTTCACCCACCAGAGGTATTAGGGTTAGTCCTCGTACATCGTTCGATTGATAAGGGTTAGTCCTTGAACACTAATGTGTTTCTTCGAACCCACCCGAGAGATTTTAGGGTTAGTCTTCGCACACTATTGGATTGATTTAGGTTAGTCTTGCACCCACCTATGATAGTTAGATTAGAGTTCGACTGATAAGTCTTAGTTTCGCACCTACGTCCAAAAGTCTTTGTATTCATGATATTTTGTATCTATTTATAAAAATGGCGAGGCATCGCATTTTTGCGCAGTAGTACTATGACGTCATAGACGTGAATTGTTTTCTGCGCCATCGGACTTTGGCGTGTCAGACCATCGGGGATTGGCGCAGACCATCGGACTTTGGCGTGACCATCGGACTTTGGAGTCCCATCGCACTTTGGAGTCCTACATATAAAAATATTTTTTGGACATGTAACAATGTTGACCTTTGACAAAAGATTAAAGTCAGATATCCATTAAAGATCTCTGAAAAATCAGTTATTTAGGGGGTCCAAGCTGTTATTTTTCTCCTGAAGTTTTGAAATATGAAAATCTTTCCAAAACGTATTTTGAAATTTAATACAAAAGGTGTTAAATAAATTGGATTGAATGGATTCACTACAGGAAATATGAAAAAGTTATGGACTTTTTCATGTATATTGATGTATTGTAGAACCATATTACAAAAGGTGTTATGGTTCAACAATACATCAAAGAACATGATATAAAGTCCATAATATTGTCAAACCCTATTGTGAATTATTCAATCTAATTTTAAACAAAAAATATCACATTGAAAGAATCAGAGTCAAAGATTTAAAGCAAGTTTCAAATAATATAAATAAAAATGTAATTCATTTGTTTTCATAAATTATTCAATTTAAATATTAATTCAAAAATATACTGTTTCAGGTCAAAGTTCTCTGTGAAATTGTCACATACCAAATGGAAAAAAAACTACCGGTAAACAAACTTCAACATTATAATTATCCCTTCAATATACATGAAATGTTATAACATCGTCGGAAACCCACGGGTGATCTTGTCTTTACTTATCACCCGTGGGCAAACTCGCCAAAAATCGTCGTATGTAATTGTTATTAATTCTATAACAATTAACTTATATCATGTAATGTGCAGTGTACATTCCTGGGTTATGACGTCACAATCGTGATGACGTCATAATAGTGATGACGTCATTGAGTACTTTGTATTGTATATTGTTATACTCCTACTAAACAGTTCCTATATAATTCCTTACTTTAAAAAGTCCAACAATTCGACTGTTTTTCCCAACTACCGGTCCAAAGAACTATTAAAATTGACTGTTAAAAAAGACTGTTGACCGCTGACGTCATATGGCGCTAAATTGAGTGATCTTTTCTTCACTTGGAAAACCTCGCTTGATTTGGATAACCATGAGTTGAGTGTATTTAGCCGAGGAGTGCCGAATAATATAACCTTGTCGTTTTAGCTATGACGTCACAGACTATTCGATGAAGCGGTTCCAGGACTTGTGTACGAAGGCTACCTGTCGGTAAGGAAATGGCCGATGTTCGTTTCATTGCGGCAAACGAGGAAGAAATCTGGTCGATACTCGAAACTAGGGACAATAAGAATGCAAAAAAATGTGAAAACGGCTGAAAATATTCTCAGCGAATATGAAGTGTAACTACCGCTTCTGCGTAATTAATTGTGTGAAAGAAAAATTGGTAAGCATATTAACATGAGGAAATTCTATTGTGCAACTTGGAAGAAGGATGGGAGCATGTATGCAAAGAAAACCATAATTTCTATCCACTATGCTTTTCAGAAATCATAAGTCCCATGGCATTGGTATAATAAATGATCCTCGATTGAAGACGGCAAATGACGATTGTTGATAAATACACAAAAACATGATAAAGTCTCTCTCCCAAAACAATTTGACTTTTGTTAAATATAAGAAATTTGATTTGGTAGGAGTACAACAAAACAGTTGTTGACAGGGGTCTCGGGAAACAGTCGACCTGTTGGACTGGAGTGCAAGCTGTTGCCCGCGACCTACGGCCTTGGGCAACAACTTTCACTCCGGTCTAACAGATCGACTGTAAAGTTCGTGGACAAGCTAAAAATTTAGCAAAGGTTGTGTCTTTGATATTTATTTTTGACATATTTCTAATCCTTTACTAAATGAATTAACAAATGTAAAAATTTATTCATTTTCAAATGTTTAATTACAATTATGGGTTCATAATTAGACTTGGAATGGAGACCCGGAGCA